GGGAAACAGTTATGTGTGAAAGGATGCAGAGTGATCAGTGGACATCTCCAAGATGGCGTGGGGGGTCTTGACGCTAAAACAAAAGTAAGCAGCTGCACAGTGGTTTTCAAGTAGAAGTGTCCCCAGCTTGTCACAGGCAGTTTGCAGCAGATAGCAGATAGTTCATACAAGCACATTTGCACAAACTTCTTGTAATTTCAACAACTTCTCTTCTCAGGTCAGTAAAAAAAAAGATTACCCAGTCTAAAGGTCAAATGTTGAACAACATATTGATCCAATCCAAGCTGGGTCATGGCTGGACGCCCAATCTGCAGGCCTAGTTTGGACATCATATAGATGTCCAGAATTGGTCACCAACAACCAAACATAGACATGATGTGCATGTCTATCCGACATCCAATGTTTAGTGGGAATATCTTCAATATCTAATAACTTCGTCCAACAATAAATGTTTATTCCAGAAGTAGTAACAAAATGTGCTGCTGACCTGTTCCACTTCACTGTCCATTCCCTGTTGTAAAGCTTCATCTATTTTATACATGTAATGCACACTTGTGCTTTCATTTATTACTAATTCTCCAACTGTTATGAGAACAAGTTAATAAAGTTCAAAACTTGATTTAAAATTGGCTGATAATTAATTGTTGTGCACCTCCAGAACATTTCCAGCTGCTATTTCTGATCTCTTACTAGAAGTCCTGCCATGTCCTCTTGTATTTGGGCCTCTACAATGGGAGGTGAACTAAGCTGAATGGAGGCGAATCTAACTTTGAATTATGTGGAAGATAGTACATTGATGAAGAGCACCGGTTGTTTCTATATTTGTTCCTCTTAATGTTCCCACTCAGACCCCTGAGGCTATCACAGCACAACTCCACTTTAATAGTCTGGCCCTTGGAAATGAATTTTCCGAGCAGAATCCAATGAATGTTGGGAGAGAGAAAAATATGCACTGTCCAAGTCAGACTGCTCACCTCACACTGCTCTAAACACAACCTCTGAAAACTGACTAATCACATGGAAGATCATGGTCACACAGAGAATATAGAGACATTAAAATTCAATGATGATTCCCAACAGTTCTTAGAAGTTTTCTGTTGCCTAATAATTCCTAAATTCCTGAAATGCTGAAATGAATACTACTGTAAACTGCTCATATTTTTCGACACAAATGTTTGGTCAGCAAATAACATTCCAGTTGTGCTGGAGTTCTGAAGCACTTTATACTGATGTCAGTGTCAGAAGTGTTGTCACCACTGCTGCAGATGGTGTTGAAGCCAAAGCCTCGAAGGCCTAGTGGAAATGTTGTGACTTGTGCTTCGGCTGTGTTGAGAGCACTTACATACACAATGATGATATGAGAATGTTACATCATGTAAAAACATATACCATTATTATTGTGGACAATGGAACAGTCCTACTATCAACTGAAATATTTGAAAATGCACTTTTGTAGCTCCTTGTAAAATACATTGTAACAGTTTTCTCAGTATTCAGGCGTGAAGATTTAGCCCAATTCAAAGCATTGTCCATGATGGTCCATGCAAGGCATAAACTGTCATCAAATTGTATTAATTATTACATTTTTAAAGAAGACTTATGTGAATACTGCTTATTACTTGTAAAAATGAGCAGTTTGTTGATGTTTGTGAAACATCCACACCACTCAAGCACCTTGTCATTTTTCGCATGTGTACACTTGACAGTTACTTAAGCATGTTAGAAAATATTGGGTGGTCTCAGAATCTCATCTCTGGTTTTCGCGGATGATGGGTTTTTGTTGGCTTCATCGGGTGATGGCCTCCAGCTCGCGCTGAGTTTGAAGCGGTGGGAACAAGAATCATCACCTCCAAATCTGAGGCCATGGTCCTCAACCTGAAAAGGGTGGAGTGCCCACTCCGGGTCAGGGACGACTTCCTGCCCCAAGTGGAGGACTTTAATTACCTCAGGGTCTTCAGACAGGCTGGTGCTGCGGTTGCAGTGATGTGGATGCTGTACCTGTCCGTCGTGGTGAAGGGAGAGCTGAGTGTAAAAGGGAAGCTTTCAATTTACCGGTCAATCTACGTCCCTACTCTCACCTATGGTCACGAGCTGTGGGTAGTGACCGAAAGGACGAGATCGTGGATACAAGCCGCAGAAATGAGCTTCCTTCGAAGGGTGGCTGACCTCTCCCTTAGAGATAGGGTGAGAAGTTCAGCCATCCGGGAGGGGCTCAGAGTAGAGTCGCTGTTCCTCCACATTGGAAGGAGCTAGTTGAGGTGGTTCAGGCATCTGACAAGGATGCCTCCTGGGTGAGGTGTTCCGGCATTTCCCACCGGGAGATGCCCCAGGCTAGACCCAGGACACACTGGAGAGATTATATCTCTCGGCCTTGGTGTTCCCCCAGACAAGCTGGAGGACGTGGCTGGGGAGGGGGAGTCTGGTTAGACTGCTGCCCCCAGATAAGTGGAAGAAGATGAATGGATGGAAAATACTGAATATTGAATAAACTATTTTGTTGTTTCAAAAAGGGCACATACAGGTACATACAAAGCTGAAAATGACTCGTATATTTATGTATTATATGTCTCTTAGGTATTTTTTGCACACATGTAACATGTAAGTATAGTGATGGTGTGTTTATGTTGGTGTGTTTTTGTGGTATTTGTCTGTTGTTTCCGTCGTCCTAGGCAACTGGAGTTAATGTGAGACCACTTATACAGAGATGTTAGCATCAACTCTACAATGATGGGGATTTAAAGGAGGTGAGTAGGCATGAACCAAAACTCAATGTCTAATACTAACTATTGATAACATTTAATTATACACAACGACAGTATATGGAAGAGCAAACAGTGAAGCCAAAACGTCTCTATCACCCTCTGGTGTTATAAACCCCACCTTCTGTCAAATTAAGACCAAAAAGGTCCAATCAGATCACATTTCCTGAAAGATTCATTCTGCCGTTATTAGCAGTTCTCATCGTGCTGTTTTGGGTTCAAGGGTATGGGCTCAAAATGTGGTCATAAATATTTTGTACTTGTAAATCAGTTTTGAGTGTGTAAAAAAGATTTGTGTGTGGACTTAGCCAAAAAAAAAAAACCCCTGCAAGTTACAAGTACGAATTTTGACCCTATTTTTCTTCCTTTCATCTGATTG